CCCTGAACTTGTTGTTTTGATAATTTTGTCCGTTTTCACTATTGTTTTAGGGAGGATTGTTGCACGACTCAGCAATATTAGAAATCCTTCCCTTCCTTTAGATTTGCTCTTATATTTGTCACTTCGGTGTTCATTCATTCTTGAAGCATAGATAACTAAGTTCACTTTCCATATCCCTGAAGTGTATCCTTTGAAATTTTCCTGAATGACAGTATCTCACTGTTAGCCCAATGAGCTCCCTTCCCACAGCTTAGCATGCTCCTTTCCTAAGCATCACTAGGCCCATTTAGTAAAGGCAGTAAATAATCAGCCTCCAAACCCCTTTACCTTGAGATGGCACTTCTCTGGGGCAGCTACCACCATATAAGGCAACAAGAGCCCCTCAGAGTGACCTTCAGGTCTGGGCAGTTGCAGGACCCCTTATCTACTACTTGGGCAGCAGCCATAAATCCTAGTGTGCCATGATGAAGCCTCTGGTCCACATGTCCGCACCAGGGTCTCTGCCTCCTTAGCCCCTCTAGCCCCTCCTAAACCTCCTAGGTTATATAGGTCACCTGAGACAATAGCTAGCACTTGTTCTCTCTTGTGAGAAGGGGTCTTGCTGGTCCCTTTACTGGTAACAAACCTTTTCTTTGTTCTTTGTACCTGGATGTCTGTGTGTTTTTTCTGGCAAAGTCTAATATACTCTAACACTCACATACAAGTCTCCTTGTGTGAAATTGTACTTGTTTTACTCTAATTGGAGAAAAGTGGTTTTCAGTTAATTATTTTATTTTCAGCACATTGAAAGTAAATTCCATTGCGATTTGGCTTTTGTTTTTGCTGTTGAGAATTCAGTGCTCAGCCTATTATTCCTTGGAAGATAATTTTACTTGGGTGGGTTTTAGGATCTTATTTTGCTTTGGGGTTCTATAGTTTCACTTTTTAATTTTTTGTATTTTGGTATAGTTTTATTTACCTTGCCTGGAACCTGTTGGGTATTTTCTACCTGTGACTTTTATGAGTTTTTTTTTAAATTAATTTTTGGCAGTACTGGAGTTTTGAACTTGGAATCTCATACTTGTATAAGAATTCTACCACATGAAGGGGTTTGGAAGGTGGATCAGAGGTAGAATGTTTGCCTTGCATGCATGAGGCCCTGGGTTTGATTCCTCAGCACCACATAAACAGAAAAGGCCAGAAGTGGCACTGTGGCTCAAGTGATAGAACACTAGCCTTAAGCTGAAGAGCTGAGGGACAGTGCCCAGGCCCAGAGTTCAGGCCCCATGACCGACAAAAAACAAAAAATGAAAACAAGAGTTCTACCACTTGAACCATTCCTCCAGCTTTTTTTGCTTTAACTGTTCAGATAGGAGCTTGTGATTCTTGCTTGGGTCATCCTCAGACTATGAACCTCCTATCTATCTATACTTTCTGTGGAGTTGATGTATACCATGGTGCCAAGTAGTCTTTTGTTTTCTTTTTCTTTTCTGTGCTAGTCTAGGGTTCAAGTTCAGGGTCTGGCTGCTCTCCTTGAGTTTAGTTTGCTAAGGTTAGCACTCCACCACTTGAGCCATAGCTTCTGGCTTTTTGGGTAGCATTGGAGATAAGAGTCTCATGAACTTTTCTGCTCAGGCTGGCTTTAAACTTCAATTCTCATATCTCAGTCTCCTGAGAAGGTAGAATTTCAGGTGTGAGGCATTGGCATCCCTCCACTTTCTTCGTCTTCATCGTCTTCTTCTTCCTCTTCCTCTTCTTCGTCTTTGTCTTCTTCGTCTAGGAAATTTTCTCAGATAATGCTTTGCCCCCTTCTTGAATCCATTTTTCTCCCTCTGAATTGTTTACTAAATGGCTATCAGATATTTTCATTCTGACATGCATGTTTTTGGAACTGTTCTCCATCTATATTTGTTATCTCATTGATCTGTGCTGCTTTCACACATTTCCCCCTTCCCCACTTTTTCTGTTGTGTGAGATTCTTGATATGTAGCCCAAACTGGCCTTAGATTGCCTATCTTCTAGCCTCAGCTTCCCAAGTCCTGGAATTACAGGTGTTCTCTACTATGCTCAGTTTCTGAGCTACTTTCTGTGTAATTTCTTCCTCTAAGGAAATTTCTCCCTACTTCTCATGAGAACTTTCCCTAGGGACATTTATGGGCAGGAGGTTGTTAAAATTTATTTTATGAACCATTCTGTGTAATGCTTTTGTGGTTGGAGCTCAGTGCAGAGGGACTTGTTGGACCTGTTGGGCCTCAGCTTGAACCTAAGTTTTGCGCTTTGTCCTTTTCTCTCTTGAAGACTGCCAGAAGCAAAGCCCTAAGTTTGTATGGTTTGGCAGTGGCTTCAAGTCAAAGGCCTTCTAGATCTCTCCTTTTTTCCCCTTATGTTCTTTCCTTCTTGGTTTGGAAATAGTTCTGTGATGTTAATAATTATTATTATTAAAAATTCCTCTAGCATACTTATTGGAGGAATGCCTAGCCTGCCATTATTAGAAATGAGTAGCTGCTCTTCACTCATCTTGAGCATTTATATTTATAGTTCACATATTTCTCATTGCTAATGCTCTTCATTCCTTCTTGTTGATCTAGTTTTTCCATCTGGTGCCATTTCTCTTCAACCTGAAGAACTAGCATTTCTTGTAGTGCAGGTCTACATAGTTATTCCTAGACTTTAATGTTATCTTCATATTTGAATGAAATTTTGCCCTTGTTTAGCAGGGCTCTTAAAACAATTTCAGTGAGGTAGTTGTAAGGAAATATTTTGCGTTTCCAGGTTTCAAGTCCCAGTTTGCAGCATCTTATGTTGGGAAATGTTAAGGAGTATCCATACCAGGAGTATGGATAAAGAAAAGATCTGACAGAAACTCATAGGCCAACAGGTTTTATTTGCTCCAACCTGAGAAGGGTGACCATGTTTCTTCAGCCCCACTGAAGAAGAAATGGGATGATGATTCCCTTACAATGAAGGTCTCTTTTATTAGGTAGAAAAGTGAATTCAGGTGGGGCAGTGGGCTGGGGTAGTTTGTCACCAGAGGGCAAGATGGGAACAGAGGAAGGGCTCTTTGTGCAGAGATGAATCATCTTGAATTACAAGAAAGGTTTTTGTTTGTTTGTTTTTTAACAGCATGGGCTTTTAGCAGACATGTCAACAAATGGTGTGGCCCTCAGTTCACAGGTTATCTCTTTACAGCACAGAGTATGTTTGAGGAGTGAAAAAGAGAAGGGAGACAATTCAGTGAAGTTGGTAGCAAGGGCAGTTCTAAGATATGTCCATTGGGGAAAGGTGAGTATTTTTAGTTTAGGTCATTTTCCATTGTAGATCTTAGATTGGAATTTTGGGGGGTTCTGGATTTAATTTTTAAATACCAACTAGAAAACGAATTGCAGAAAATGAATTGCAGGATTATTCTTGCTATGTAACTTTCATGCCATGTATCCATCATTCCCCTCTGGACTTGGTGCCCATCTATGCCCCTTCTCACTTTGTTTAGGGAAAATAACACAAAGCCCCAAATCATTTACGTTACCCTTCTATAAAGACCTTTTGATTCACTCATTTGTGTAACATTAAAATTACATTAAGCTGAGTGCTGGTGGCTCATGCCTGTAACCCAAGCTACTCAGGAGGCTGAGATCTGAGGATTGTGGTTCAAAGCTAGCCTACACCAGAAAACTCTGTGAGATGCTTATCTTCAATATACTACTCAAAAAAGCCAGAAGTAATGCTGGGCACCTGTAATCCTAGCTACTCAGGAGGCTGAAATCTGAGGATTGCAGTTCAAAGCCATCCCAGGCAAAAAAGTCTGTGAGAATCTTACCTCTAATTAACTACTAGAAAACTGGAAGTGGCAATGTGGCTCAAGTGGTAAAGCACTAGTTTTGAGCTGAAAGAGCTCAGGGACAGCGCCCAGGCCCAGAGTTCAAAACCCACGACTGCCCCTCTCTTCCCTCCTCCCCCAACAAAAAAAAGCCAGAAGTGGCACTGTGGCTAAGTGGTAGAGCTTGCCTTGAGCAAAAGAAGCTCAGGGACAGCACTCAGGCCCCAGGACCCACCCTGCCTTCTCCCCCCCCCCCCCCCCCCCCCCCCCCCCCCAAAAAAAAGATTAAATTAAGATTGTTTCCATTTAGCAGTATTTACTTTAAGGGAACAATGTTGAAGCAGGTAGTCATTGTATTGTAATTAGTTTTTCTTTGTTATTAAACCCCTTCACAGTCTGACTTTTCAAAGTGTTTCAGTTATCTAGATGGAAATGTTTGTTGAAACCTTCCAGTGGTCCCATATGTTGTAAGTAAAGTCTTGCCTGCTTGGCAATGCATTAAACAGCCTTCAGTTTATTCAGTCCCTGTTTCTGTCCTTAGCTCTGTGTTCTGCTAGTCCTGCCAACAGTTTTGCTGTTTCACTGTTTCACACCTCTGAGCCCTGGTATATCATGTTCCTTTGCCTGGAATTCTTTCTTTGAATCTGGTAAAATCCCACTTGTCCTTTAAAAGTCAAATTTCACAGTCTCTGATGTTGTCCCTGTACCTTCAGTTTATTATTCTTCCTGTGCCACTGTGGAACCTTTTGCATTATTCTGTTACTGACTCTCTGTGAAATAATATGATTATTTTTATTTATTTTTGCTTTGCAGTGCTGGAGATTGAACCCTTGCATATGCTAGACAAATGCTTTACCATTGAACTATATATCCCCAGTGATGTGATTATTTTAAATAGATATTTAAGCCCAAGTATATAAGTTGGAGGTTCTTTTGGAGGCCTTGTTCGTATGTTGGCTTTGATAGAAATGTTGAGTGAATGGGTGAATTACCATGTGTAGCTATGTCATTGAGTGACAGAAATATATATTTCTTCTAATAATGACCATATATTATTATCATCTTTGTGTTTAATCTTATGCATACTACATTTAAGAAACAATTTAGTTTATTTATGATGTCTTTGTTTTTAAAGACAAAATGATTGAAATAATTGTAAACCCAAGATAGTCTTCCTAAACTATGTTTCAATTTCCACCAACAGAATCCAACTTGGCGGAGTCTTGATTTTGGAATAATGCCTGACTGTCTTGACACATCTGTGTCTTGCTTTGTGGTAAAGATCTGGGGTGGAAAGGAGGACACCTACCAGCTGCTGATTGAATGGAAAGTCTATTTGGATGGGCTGAAATACTTGGGTCAGCAGGTAATTTTCAGACTACAATGTCAAGTGGTTACCATCTCCAAATTAATCTGTCTAACCATCCTATTGATTCTTATGTCTATATTCTCTATTCTAAAGGGAGAACTCCGTGGTTGTTTACTTAATTTACTTATTTATGTCATTATGTTTGAGTTGCTGCCTAATTTAAAAAAATACTTTTTAACTCAAGACATTTATGCAGAAGTACCCAAAGTGCCAATTTAAGGAGATTTTTGCTTGTGTGTCTAAAAAAAAGATACAATGTCTCATTTTCTGTTTTGTCTCTTCTTTGGATGTCCTGTAGATTCTAAAAATTAAGTTGAAATATGGAATACACCACTAGACACATCTATTTTGATGAGAAGAGTTGGGTTATTACAGGAATAGGAAGAGCTACAAATTGTTGAGTACAGAGATGACAAGTGTCTGGCTTTATGCAGCTACCTGGCTTCTCTGCCTTTGCTGTACCTAGGAATGTTACAGTCCATAGCTCAGAATGTTCTCTTTGAACTCCAATAACTCCATAATCCTCTCTGACAGCATTCCTATTAGCAATCAGTTAGAATTGCCTGCCTGATTATGATCCTCAGACATTAATGTTACTATAATTCATGTTTAAAGCAACCTTGTGAAGGTTGATATTACTGCCCTTATTTTCTAGATAGGAAAATTTAGCTTCAAGGAGTAAGAAAGTCTTCAACATCATACAGCAGGGTGGAGCTAAGACTTATATCTAGGCCAACTTAAAAAAATAATTCTCTTTGTGTTGTGCCACACTGATGGACACATGTGGTCCTTGATAACTCTCTACCTAGCAAGATACCATTTCTGTTTTATATTTCTTATGGTCCTATTATTAAGAATAACCCTAAGTATTAGTCTTATACTATTTATGAACAGCCTGGATGTTTTCTGAATTTTTTTCAACATATATGTGTTGGTATATTTCTTTTGAATAAACAAAGTAATTCTGAATTTCGTTTTTATAGTAGAAACATTCTGCAACTCAGTTTTATTTTTAATTTTAATTTATTTTATTTTATTATCCTATTCTATTCTTTGATGTGCTAGAAATTGAACCCAGGGCCTTGTTCACATTAGGCAGGCACACTCTACAGAACCCTACAATAGATTTCTTGAACTTTCTAACTGAAAGATTATGTCTTTTGACCAATACCTACCCTATCACTAACTATACCCTAATTCCTGTTTACTTCTGTTCTCTACTTCCATGTGTTCTCTTTTTAAAAAATCGCATACATTGTCTTAGTCATGTTCTTGAAGCTAGAGTTTTGGATCCCAGGCCCAACTTCTAAGATTCCACATGTTAGGTTTGACCACTTGTTCTTATATGCCAAATTAAAGGACAGTAATTGGGGGAGGCGGGGGGAGGGTGGGAAGGGATGGGAAGGGGAAACAAAGGAGAAGGTTACAATGCTTGATAAGAAATGTACTCATTATCTTGCCCATGTAATTGTAACCCCCCTCTGTACAGTATTTTCACAATAAAAAAAAATAAAGGACAGTAATGGTGGAAGGCAGAGGAAGAAGACTTGTTATGTGGAATAGGTAGTCATGGGAGAAGGCAAAGTAAACACTTTGGCCCATCTTTAGCTTTCTTTGAGCTACAGACATGGGCTTTTTGTATAGACAGTGTTGGTTGGGACAGCAAAAAAGTCTGCATAGTAACAGTTCTAGTTACAAATGTGGTCTGTTTGGTCATTAACTCAGTTCTAGTCTGCCATGGGTTCCAGAAGATTTGTTATCACTGTAAGCATGTTAGGGGAACAATCTGATCCCCTTAAGATGATTACTTTTGCTCCACAATGAAGGCTCATCACTACAGGTAATTATCTTTGTATAGGGGCAGAATCTGTCTTACAAGGCTTTATTCCTTCTCAGGACTAGTTTTGGTTTCTTGCCATTAAGATGTTGCTGATCAGTCATGCCCTTCCTGGATTGGAGGTGGCTGCAAGGGTAATGACTCAGAACAAGGAGAAGACACAAAAATGGAGGCAGGGATGCCAAGCTTTTCTCCTGCATTTAATTAATTTGTGGACCCAAGTATGGAATCAGTGTTTTTCAACAAAGGGAGTTTAAGGACCTGTTACAATTCACCCCTTATGCTTCCACATTACTTTGTCTTGAGGAATACAGTATTGGCTCATCTGGCTTTCTATATTTCTTGGACAGAAATCTATATATCAGAAAGGGGACAAATAGTTACAAATAGCTATTTGTAGTATTTGAAGTATTTTGAAGTCAAAAGTACTTGTTTAAAACTAGCAATACCATTATAAAGTAGAATATAAGAGGGAGTAAAAGTCACAAGGCATCCAATTAAATATCTCTTTGGATTACTAAAAGGATATGTTTGAAGCTACTAGAATTAGACATTTTTATCTTTATTTAAATAGAAGACCTTGACCAAAAATAGGAGTTTGCCTTCTGTTGGTGATTTGTTAGATAGCTTGCTTACGAATCTCTTCTTCCCAGCCTCTTAGTTTTGGTTACTTTTGGGAGGGTTGGCACTAGTGATTCCTTTTGGATTCTAACAACTTTCTTTCTTTTCTGAGCAGGGTTTTTGTTTGTTTGTTTGTTTTGTTGTTGTTTTTGGCAAACTGTCTCTGAACAGGTGGCACCCCCTCTTCCACTTCCCTTTTAGTCACTGTGTAGTTTTTTTTTGTTTTTGTTTTTTTTTTTTGGGTCCGGTCGTAGGGCCTGAACTCTGGGCCTGGGCGCTGTCCCTCAGCTCTTCAGCTCAAGGCTAACACTCTACCACTTGAGCCACAGCGCCGCTTCCGGCTTTTTTCATTTTGCTTATGTGGTGCTGAGGAATCGAACCCAGCGCCTCAGGCATGCAAGGCAAGCACTCTACCACTGAGCCATCTTCCCAGCCCACTGTGTAGTTTTTAATGGTTCTTCATTGCTGGGATGAACTTTTTCTAAATGGTTTTATCTGATCCAACATTGGAGGGGAAGAGACAGAGGTCAGGGGGGAAGTCAGTATCAGTAAGACCCTTTTGGGCAAGTGGAATTAAGAGGTCCTTAGGTTTAATTCTTTCTGTTCTATAGGTGATATCCTATTATTTCAAAAATGCTGTTTCAGAGCTGGGCGCTGGGGCTCAGACCTGTAATCCTAACTACTCAAGAGGCTGATATCTGAGGATCGTGGTTCAAAGCCACACTGGGCAGAAAAGTCCCCTTGAGACTCTTACCTCCAATAAACTATTCAGAAAAGCCGGAAGTGCCGCTGTGGCTCAAGCAGTAGAGAGTTAGCTTTGAACCCAGAGCCTCAGGGACAGTAGCTAGGCCCAGTTCAAGCCCCAGGACCAGCAAAAAAATCAGAATGCTATTTTAGTTGTTATTGTTAAAATGTATACTGTGTAAAATGACAACAGACAGTTTGTTACGAATTTTTACAAGGAAAATGCAAATCAAAATTAAATACAAATATTTAAAAAGCTAACTTCTGCCTCCAACTTCTGAGTGCTGGAACTGCAGATGTCCACATCTGTACACATCTTGGTAGTGATCTTAAAGTACTTTGCTTTAAAGTACTTTGCTATGCCTATGTCTAATCTCTGCCCTAGTTTCAGAGCCAGCATACAGGCATCTTCTTAGAACGTGGGCAATGGGAAGGCAGAATGCTGAGAATAGCATGCTTCAGAGAACAAAAGGAAAACAAATTTTTGTAAGCCAACAGGAAACTAAATGTCATTGTAGAAAGTCAAAACAGCTATTTATGAAATAGCTGTAATAAGTAAAATGGAATTACAATGGTTTGTTTTAATTTATTTTTGTATCAATACTAGGGCATGAACCTAGGGCCTGGGCAATGTCACTTAGCACTTTTGGCTCAAGGTTGGTACTCTGGCTCAAGGTTGGTACTCCACTAGCTCCAATTCTGGATTTTTGCTGGTTAATTAGAAATAAGAATCTCACAGACTTTTCTGCCTGGGCTGGCTTAGAACTATTATCATCAGCCTCCTGAGTAGCTAGGATTACAGGCATGAGCCACTGGTGCCTGGCTGCATTAGCCCTTTTTGATTAGTTTGTTTTTAAGGTATATTTTCACTTTTGCTCTGGTTTGACTCTCTCAGTAGTCCTTCTATCTCTGCTTGCCTAGGAGGCTGCTTTCAGCTAGCACTGAATATTTTCATGTAGGTCTTTGTGTTGACATATGCTGTCATTTCTTTTTGGCCAATAGCTGAGAATGGCTAATGTGAAACATATATTGAAATGTGTAAAAGACTGCCCAGCAGTTTTCTAAAGTGAATGTAACATTATTCATTTTTTTTATCAGCAATGGAAAATAGTTCCATTTGTTGCACAGCATTGCTAACACAGTTGTTGTCAGTCTTTTCAAGTTTAGCCATTTTAATGGATTCCAAGTGATACTTCATTGTAATTTGAATTTCCATTTTCTTCCCCCTCCTTCCTTTTTTATTTTTATTTTGTGCAAGTTGTAGGGCTTGGACTTAGGGCTTGGATGCTGTCCCTGAACTCTTTTCGCTCAAGGATCACACTACCAGTTGAACTACAGCTCTACTTCCAGCTTGTTTTAATTTTTTATTATAAAAAAGGTGATATACAGAGGGGTCACAGTTGTGTAAGTTAGGTAAAGGGTACATGTCACCCTTTGATTTTCATTTTCTTAAAGAAAAAAAAGATGTTTGGCATTGTAAAATATGTAAATATGTATGTGTAATCAGTCTCTGCCTCTTGTTGTGAATGTGTTGTTTAGGTTTTTTTTTTCCTTTTTTGGTTTCTTGAATTCTTACTAGTGACCTAAAAATTCTTTATGTATTTTAGATACTGTCAGTTTTTTATAAGAAATACATTTTTCAAATTTTCCTGCCAGCTAAGCTTAAACCATTTTCTTAATAGAACATGTGTTTTTTGATGTTAATTAACTCCACTATCATTTCCTTCTTTCCTGCTTTGTATGCATGGTCTGTTGCCTACCTAAATGCTACTAAGGTTTATTCCTATTCTTTTCT